GGAGAGTGTGCAGGATAGGATGTATGCTGGCTGGAGTCACTTGTCAGGGTCCGTTAGGTGAGCTGTAGTGTGCCTTTGATGGGGCTTCCAATTCCACTGCCAACCAGAACAGCTTTCTGCCTGTATATAAAATAAATGGCTGTCTCACAGATCTTTAAATCTCACAGCTGTAATGTCTTCAGAGTGATGCATTTGCATCAGTTTCTAAAGGAAAGTGCAGATCTGATGTGAGTCACTTTGTAAATTCTCTCTCCCCTGCCAGCCACATTGAACAGGTATAGGGACAGAGGGACTGGAAGTTCAGGGACCTGAATAATTTGTAAAAACCTGATGGTTTTCAATCATGAACTTGCATTTGTGGCTGTGGAATTTATTTTCTTATACTTGCAGTGCAGGTATAATATTTGACAGTGAACTGTTTGTTTTAAGGTAACTGCTGCGGAGGAAGAAATGCCCTATGTTTTAAGAACTATTTAAGTACTGTACCACCACTGGCTAAAGATTAAAAGTATATGCAAAGGGAATTTGAGCAGGTTAACATCCGTGCCGTTTGCTACAGTTGGGATTTTAAAAGGAGCTCAAGTGAAGTAGGTGCCCGTACCTGGCTTGTTGCTAAGCTGGGATCTCTGCTGGAATGAGATATACCTAATGGTATTGTCTGGGAGACTTATCAGCTCAAAGATGTTACGGTAACTAACCGTGCTATCTGTCCACATCCACTTCAGTACAAAGACAGGTTAGCTCCTTGAAGATCCTAGGCTGTATGCCAAACAAGTCTTCCAGATCACTGGTAAGAAGGAAGGGTATTTTTTATTACTGGAGAGAAAGAAGTTGCTCCAGTGGTACCTGCCAACCATAGTCTCTAATCCAATTACAGTTGTAACGCACAACCTTTACAAATGGCTGAAATTCTGGGCTGAAACCTGGCACAGCAGCTGTTTTTCATACGGTGGCTTATCCTGGCCTTGTTCTGCTGGTTTTATACAAGGAACTGGGGATGGAGATGCAATCAAAGAAGTAGTAAGGAAATAAAGCCACTGTACTAAGTAAAGAATAAATTGCAGGGAGAGAAGGCATTCAAGTCAGATCGGTCTAATGTGTGTAGGATTCAAATCCATCTCCTGCTGTCAGTGTGCTCTCTGTCTTAGGAAGTAAGCTATAAATCTGGATATACCACAGCAATAGTTGAACTTTACTGAGTGTTTCACATCCTTTGGTACCTTTTGGTGGTGACTTTTCCTCATGCAGGCTGTTGTTCCCTGGTGCCTTAAGAGGCTCGGTTCTCATAGCTGCATCAAAGAGTGTTTGTCTTCGTAAGTGCATCATTTACTGCCTTGTGTTTCCCAGCGAGTTTGTTGTCTTTTGTCAGGATTCTTACTCCTACTCTGCTGGCAGAGCAAACTGGGGTTTCTGCTTCTCTGAAAGCCTGGTAGGTAGCACAGCGTGTGGTTGCACGCACTGCCTTTGCTGTATTGCTCTGGTGAACTGTAGGCTTTTTTGTGGGCACCTTCTAAATTAAACTCTGTGTTACTTTATGACATTTATGGAGAGCCGTAAAGCTAGAATATTTCTCTTGGTGCTTTCATCTTTGCCAGCATGCGCACTCAAAGTCCTCCTTTAAATACACACTCATTCCCCACCATTGCCCAATAAAGTCTGCAGTGACTTCTTCCCAGCCAAGTGTCAGAACCAGCGCTCTGTCTGTACGTGCTTGGGCAGCTGCTAAAGTCACACTGTTATTGAAATCCTTGGCCTCCTGAGGAAGCTTTCTTAGCTTTGTTACAGGCTGGAGGGTGCAGACCTCACAGCTTCCTCTCCAGCTATTTCAGAGCAATAGAGATACCTGAATTTGCATTTACAGGTGAAGTATCTTCTCTATTTGGGCAAGTCCATACATTTTCTTCACCAGATATTTGTACATTGTTAAAGTCTTTGTTTCTTGTTCTGAAACTTCTTCACAGTTACCTAATCAATAAATCAATTTCAACATAGCTTAAATGTAGAGCTCATTCTTCTTCTTTTGATCCTTTCTGTGTATCTTTTTGCAGTTGTTAGGGTTGCTTCCCTGATTCTGTGTGTAACCCAAGTATCTGCTCTGACATGGAAGCCTTTCTAGCTCCTTGCACTGATGTCACATACGACCTTGCAGCTCCCTTTCTATGTAAGGTTGCTAAGGGGGAAGCCAGGCAGACTATGTACCGTAAATTAATGTGGGGTTTCATCATTGTGCACCCCTGTAACCACAACATCCTTCTGCCTGCCCTTGACAAGTGCAGTCATGTATCGTTTGACACAAAGAGCTGCTGTAAAGAGCTCTCTGCCCTCTCGCTTTGACCAGGTTACCCATCTCTTGGCATTTCTGCTGGCCCCATCCCTTGGTTGTGTGAAAAAACTGGGTCTCTCTTTCTAGATCCTTCTTAGGGCATTCCTGCCTGTCTGGATTTCAATATGAAGTTCTTAATCTTTGCCTCAAATTGCTTCGCGGTATCGGTTTCTATAACCTACTCGATGCATTTCCAGGTAAGTGCCTTTGTGCTTTCTTCAGCAGCTCTCACGCTTGGAGGGCTTCTCCGTATATTTTGCAGAGCAATCCTCATCCTCCTCCTCAACATTTCCCCTTTCCACAGTGACCCCTATTTCGGTGTTCCCTGTTTTCCTGTGGCTGTCTGCTGCCTTTCTGAGACTGCTTGGCGCCGTGTCTGCGTGTAGCACAGTGGCATCCTGGTCCATGCCCAGGCTTTCTAGGCACCTTAGCAACACAAATAACGAGCATGCTAACGAATGAATTCTATATTTATTTATTGAGCAACAGAATTCAATCGCTGCTCTTCCTTAACATTTCCAAGCCCAAACAGAAGTCAGAAATCTGTCGCCTGTCTGTCTAGAGAGCAAGCCCTTTCGGGCAGGTCCTGTTGTCTTGTTTGGTGCAGCCGTCGCTCCGCAGCAGAGGAGAGAAAGGAGTGTGTGGACACCAGGTGCCCCCGGTGGCTTTCCTGTTTTCTTTTCCACTGTAGCTCATACAGAAAGACAGGCACGAGACTGAGGCAACGTGCAGATCTTGTTCCCTGGAATGTTTTCTTTCATCTGCAATCACTTCATCAAAATCCATAAATCTGCTAGTTAAGACCAAAAAGCACAAACATGACTGTAATTTGTGCCTTCCTGCCCCATGTTTCTCTTGGCGCGTGGAACACCAAACCTTTTCCTGAAAAAATTGATGATGACACCGGGCAAGGACGCAGTGAAAGTGGACAGCGAGGCCACTTGCGTTCCAGGCCCACTGCCTGCTTCCATCAGCCCGGCTTCCTTTTCATTCATCGTAGTAGGTTCAGAGAGTAAAACAATGGTTTGTATTTCTGTATTTACTCTGGAAATTGCGATTTCGGGCTCGTTTCCTGGTGCTGGGTGCTGTTAACGTGGCGTTGGCCCAGGGGGCCGTGAAACCCTGTGCGAAGGGAGCTTTGATTGAGACGCCAAGGCTGCGTGTCACATGCAGCTCCTGGGGAGATTAGCACCTTCTCAGCCGCCCCGTGGTGATTACTGCTCTCTGACATCTGTCACCGTCACCCCGCTACGGCTCCTTCAGCTGCTGCCATCCAAACCCTCCCAGGACCTGGAGAAACCGCGTGAGGTCTGTTCTAACCTGGAGTGGTTCCATCAAACGGGGTGGGAAGTGATCTGCTGAGCAGCAACCCCCCCAGGAGATCTGAAGGGCCATCCAGGGAGATGCTGGTGGGCAGGAGGAGGAGGAGGAGGTGATGGCAGCCCCACAGGGGCAAGGACAGGAGGCAGAGGCAGGAGTCTTGCAGCAGAAGCGGGAGGATGAGGAGGCGGAGCTGGTGAGCCTGGCTTGGACAGGGCAGGTAGCCCCCGAATGGCTTTGTCCAGGCATCTCCGAGAGAACCCTTGCTGTGTTTCCCTTGTGGGGGCTCTCTTTTCTGACTTTTGAGCAGAAATAAATGAAAAAAATCCTCAAAATCCTAAAAGCTGCACTGATCTGGTGGGATCAGCTGAAGGGGCTGGCGCATCTAGCTGGGCTCCAACTGGGGGTCTTAGAAAGGTGCAGAAGGTGCTGAGCTTTTCAGAAAACATGGAGTTTTCAGTCGATCTTAGGCTGTTGCTGGGGCTGTTCGGTCTCTTCTGGGATCAAGGAGAGAACAGTGGAATTCAGGAGTCACGGCCCCGGCCCCTCTTCTTGCACCTCGTGACAGAAAAAGAGTAAAAAAAAAAACCTATTTTGCTCGTGAATATTTCACCTCCTCTCAGCCCAGGAAACAGCCGTTGGTATCGCTCCCTGCATCCTTCCTAGCGTTTCAGGGCAGTGACTTGCTGGTCTTGTGACGGGGTTGTCCCATGTCCCCCTTCACGTGATTCCCGTGGCACCCCTCTTTCTGACGAGCTGTGTTTTTATCTCCCTTTGTTTGCCAACAAAAAAAAAAAACCACACACAAAAAAATTCCCTTCCAGTTTTACTGTTTTCCATTTGACACATGGATTTATTTTTTTTTCCCCTCCTGTGTGTGTCCCCCTGGCCATGGCAGAGGGAAGGGAGTATCCTGGATAACCTCACACCGGAGGAATTTTCACGTGCTTTTCCACCTGAGGTGCGATAGCGGTGCCGGGGATGTGCCCTCCGAGCGGGAGTCAGCCCGGAACGGTGGAGAAACAGCTCCATTACCGGCAGGATCTGGTCGGCCTTTCCCTAAACCATTCCCTTTTGGGCCCGGGATGGCCGGGGCTTCCGGTTCGCGAAGCGAATTCGGAGGAATTTGGGGAAAAATCTCTGCCCCGACACGCTGAAACGTTTTGTAACCTGTCCCTGCGGCGCCCCGGCCGACCGACAGGGGGCGCCAGAGCGGTGCACGTCGGGAACTGTAGACGCGGGAGTGTCTTGGCGCGGTGCATGCTGGGAGTTGTAGGCGCCTGCTCGGTAATACACCGCGCGGGAGTGGCGCTGCGCTTCGGCGTCATCGTCACTTCCGCCCGTGGTTGACGTCAGTTCCTGGCGGGATGGGGAAGCGGGTGAAGGGCGCTCGGCGGGAGGGGATGGCGGCGGCGGGCAGCCTCCCCGAGGAGCCGGTGGTGAACCGTTGCGTCCTGCAGTTCTACTTCTACCAGGCCATGGCGGCCTACCGCGCCGGGCGGTACAGCGACTTCCGACAGCTCCGTGACGTCATGCAGGGTGGGCCGCACCCGGGGGCAGCGGGCGGGCTGGGGGTGAGGGGAGCGGGGACAGGACCGGGTTGGGGATGAGGGGGGCCGGGGCCGGCAGAGGCCGGGCCCGCGCTGGGCGGTGAGGGGGAGAGACGGGGCGGCTACGAGGTGGGGAGCGGGGTCGGGGCCGGGCCGTGCTGTCCCGCTGTAACCTGTCCTTCGTCCCACAGCGCTGCTTGTGCGGCCCCTGGAGAAGGAGCCCGTGGTGGCCAAGATGCTGCGCATAATGCAGTTCCTGTCACAGATTGAGGAAGGCGAGAACCTCGGTGGGTCCCCAACCCTCCCAGCAAGGCCCTAGGGAGAGCCCAGTCTTGTCTTGCAGCCCACTCCCCTAGCTGGAGCGTGCCTTGTTCTGTGGCTGTGTCCCATGTCCCCAGGAGCTGTGTTTCTGTACAGAGTAGAGCTCTGGCATGAAAGTCTTAAGCTGTAGGAGCTTTCCCCTGAGCATGAGGGGCCAGAGACCATGGCTGTTCATGCCTGCATTGCACTGCTGTAGCAAGTGAGAAGCTGCTGCCCTTAGCCAAGAGCAGTGTACTTGAAGCCAAGCTTCAGGGCTTTCCTGCTCTCTGAATTCACCCCTCAGCTTCTGAAATGCTCCCTCTGGTTCAACTGTTGGTAGTCAGGTGGTGCTTCTGTAGCTTTCCATGCCTGTGGGGGGAAACTTGCAGTTCCGGCAGTTGGCGGTCAGCCTGCCATTCTTGTCAGTAGCTCTAGAATTTGCGGTCAAAGTTGAGCAAATCGAGTAACTAGCTGTCTGTAAGGCATTGCTGTGAACACTTTGTAAACCAGCATCTGTGAATTCTTGTAGATTGCACCTTTGATAAAGATTCAGAGCTCACTCCTCTCGAATCAGCAATCGGTGTCCTGGAGCTCATTCAGAAAGAGTTCTCTGTGGCTGAGAAGACAATGGAAACTGTTCAGAAAATGGTGAAGGAAGCTGTAAGAGCTTTTTCTTTTTTGATTAATGCTTTGCTCATCTTTTGTCTTAGAAAGGTTTTGCGTGACAGTGAGAATTGCCTTGCATGTAGGATACCGTGGTTAGTACTGACTTGGCTGCAGACACATATCATCAGTGCATGTACTTCTTCATCCATTAATGCAGAAGTTGTTTCTCTGTGTATGTTGTTACTAAGCTGTTACCTGTGTGCCATCCTTGGTTATTTTACATGCTTTTCCAAAGCTAGTTTGGAGAGTGTAGTCAATTCAATGTCAACAGAGAAAGTGGTGTTTGTTTTCTTCTCTAGGCTGTTATTGTCTGCATCAAAAACAGAGAGTTTGATAAAGCTTCAAAAATTGTAAAGAGGCACTTAGGGAAGGACCCCAAAAGTCAGGTGAGTCTGCACGGGAATGAAAGATGGCTGTTTGAGGCCTGTGTGATGTGTCTTATGGAGTGTTTGGGAGTGGGGATGTTTGGAGGTGATCTGAGATGTCTTACGGGGTGTTGGCAGAAGGGGCAGTGACCCATGTTGCAGACGTAAAATGTTTCCCCGAGAAGCATCCTCCTTAGAGAAATCTGAGGAAGAAGACTTGGTAGGGGTGATGAAAGGGAAAGAGTCCTCCATGAAAGGTGGACTCTCGGTATGCATTTCTAAAGCATGTTGACAGTCACTTTGGAGCTCCCTCTGTTACTCGTGTTCCCTCATATATCTTCATGGGTCTTCCAGGCATCAGCATTCATCCTTTACCTCAAGGCAAACTCAAGCTCGTGTGTAGAACTCATGTGTTCATAGGAAGGGCTGGTTCTGAAAGCAGGAAGAGTCCCAGTTTCTGTAGGCAGTGTAGTGTCTTGGCCACTGGAAGCAAAAAGTCAGAGGTGCTGAAATAAGATGGCTCTCCCATTCCTCTGGCCTTTTCCCAGCCTTTTGTCAGTGTAAATCACTTGTGCCTGGAAAATATAAAATAGGAAGGGCCCAATCCTTGCACAGATCCTAGCTCCTGCAGTTGGCATTTATACCCTTGTACCTATTTAGAGCTTTCTTATCTCTTCTCTAGAAAAAGAGGAATGAGTTGCTGACCGTTATCCGGGAGCAGAATTCCAGTCATCCAATGGTCAAAAACTTCTCTTACAAGCACTTCCAGCAGAACATGTTTCAGTTCCTGAAGACCTATGTGGATGATTCGGAGCCGCTGCTGCTAACGGTACGTGTCTGCCCCGCTTACCTGGCTTCCCGTCCTGCACTCGCCTCTGCCCCAGCGAGGGGCAGCAGGACAACAGCATGAGATGCAGACCTGGGCAGAACTGACACTTAATTTGCTATAAGGCAACGAAATACAGTAATTTGGCTTTCAAGTGCTCACTGTGCCAGTAATGAGTTAGAGCTTAGGCACCTAGTTAACAGTGCGTTAAATCCAAAATACTTTAAATTCAGTCCGTTCCTAAGAGTTTTATACGGTTTGAACGCATTTTTTCAATCCATGTAACAAGTTTTAATTGGCAGACATGAACTCTGCACATGGTGCTGATTGAACTGGAAGTAGCAGCTTAAAATGTCTTTGGGAGGGGATAAAATTGGATGGTAGTCTGGGGAGTTGTCTTTGTAACAGTTAAATTCTTTTTCTCTCTCCAAGATAATGAAAAAGACTTTGGATTCAGAACATGCTGAAGAACCAAAATGTTCATCAGTGACTCCTGAGTCTGCAAATGGGCCAAAGGACCAGGCAGCAGCTCTGGAGCCCTTGGGAAGGACAAATCCCTCTCCAGAGCCAGCAAAAGACCTGGAGGGAGCTCTTAACCCCACAGAAAGCAGGGACGACCCCGCGGCAGCTCCTGAGCCTATGGAAGGTGCTAGTGACTCTGCAGCAGCTCCTGAGCCTATGGAAGGAGCTACTGAGCCAGCAACAGCTCCTGAGCATATGATAGAAGCAGTTAATACCCTGGAAGGGGGTTCAGAGCCTATGGAAATATCTAAAGAACCAGCAGCAGCAGCTCCAGAGCTTCCAGGAGCGTCCTTCAGGGACATGGAAAGGTGGGCAGAGGAGTCTGGCCCTGCGTTGTAGATGAAACGTGGCAACAGTTCTCTTCTGAGGGGTAGTTTGTTCTGTCCAGGCAGCTCCTAACTTCCCCAAATGCCGACCCAAGCAGGTCTGCCCAAGCAAGCTGCAAAGGCTACCAGTGTAAGCCTTCTGTCTGGATCACAGTAAAAATGTTAAGGTGGTCTGTGGTTGGTTTTTTCTTTTTTTATGTGAAGATATGTAATACTTTTGTAAACTAGGGAAGGAGGCCAGTGGCTGCCGAAAGGTTTGCTCTTATGGAGCAGCTTTTGATACCCGTATGGTTCAGCCCTTAAGTCGAGAATAGCAGGGCATCCAGTGGCACGTGGACCATGGGAATGTTCTCTCAAGACCTGGTACGCTTCACTTTTAGAAGGAAGGCAGACTGAAGGGCTGGGAATGCCCTCTTCAATAGATTTTATTACCCTAGGGCCAGTTGAGGGTCCTACCATAGGGGAATAGCCTGTTTTCAGTGAAGTGGAGCCAGCTTGGTGATATCTTTCCAACCTTCTCAGTTCTGTTTATTTTGTAGGCAGCCCTCTGGAACTGTAACTGCGTATGGGATTTCTGTTCTGAGAGAAGCTTTCAAGATCTTGTCGGACTCCCAGGATTCTGATGCACTCTTCACCAAACTGGATGAAACAGACTTTTCTTTACCCAAGCAACTGTCTCCTTCTGTATCCCACAGAACCAAGAGACGGAAAGAAGAGGAGAGTCAAGATTCTCAGATCTCAAACCCTCCTGAAATACCCCATAAGGGCAAACGCTTGTTGACCATAAGCAAACTGGTCATGGAGGAAGACAGCCAGTACAGCGAGTTGAGTGAGAGCCCAGACTCTTCCCAGGAGCCAGTTGTATCTTCTGCTTCCAGACCTGTTCAGAAAGTGCATGACCAGCCTGTATCTACTAAGAGTGCCAAGTATGAAGCCCATCTCTTGCGGTATATTCTAATATGCACCCAATCTCTTAACTTGCAGCTGGCATCGGTAGCATGAACAACAGAAACCTTTATATTTAATTCAAGATTAGTATATTGACCATCCTTGTTTGCTAGCATATGTGGAACTGGGCAAAGTAAATGCTCTGTTGTCTTTACGCTTTGCTGTTTGGTTAATGGAGGGGAGAAAATGATCCAGCTTCCACTGGCAGTGAGTCAGAGGTACTGCAGTTAGCATTGGTAGGTGATTCCAGCATGTGTATCACAGGTTAACACGTGTCTCTCTGCACTTTGGTTAGTGATGCTGAAGCTGGAAAGAGTTCATAGATGCATCTTGTGGAACAGATTAAAATCTCCTTTCCACCTCTTGAGAAATACAACACTGACCTAGTTAAAGTTCTTTTTTCCTGAAACCTGTGTTGGTTAAGAAACTCCAGCTGTAGCTTTGTGACTGTTTCTTCGGTATGTTATTGCTTACCTGGCAGCTGAAATGACAGCAGTGAGAGGTGGGGGCATGTTTTTTTTCCTTTTTTCTATGGGAAATCCTTATAAAACAGCAAAGTAGGCTTACCAGCAGAAATCTAAAATTATCACTGATAAGAGAGTCTTAGCTTTAGAGTATCATGAGTATCTCTTGTGGGCCGCAGCAGGGTGTAAAGCTTCCTGCTTAAATGTCTGGGTTGCTCTTTTTTTTGCTCAGTGAAGTTGCATAGCAGCTAGCAATAATGATGCTTTGGATCCCCAGGAGTGAAGCTGGGAGGATTGAGGAGAGTTTGATGTCGTTAAAAAGATAAATGAAACCCATTTTCCCTTAAGTTCCTGGCTTAAGAGTGTCAAGAACGGAAAGGTTTGGTTTTGAAGGGCAGGTAGCAAACACCCCAGTGCTCTGTGTAGCTTGGCTGCTCTGGAGATGGATTGTCTTTCGCTGAAGCACGGGAGAGTGGCTGCAGGTAGAGATGTGCTGTAGTGTAGCTGGCATTGGTGGAATCTCAGATGCCTTGCTGATGTGTCCTGCTCAGGGTTAACCTAATTGTCGGAGATGATGCTCAGAAGGGATTTCTAACCACCACCCCCCCATGTTGTCCACTTCCTCAAGTGATCTGAAAATTCTAGTTAATAAATTTCCTGGATTTTTTAAAGCAGTTGTGGGCGGTGATGCTTGATCTCTTCTGCTTTTCTCTGGTAGTACATTGTAGCTGACATTGCTGTCCCTAGGATATGTCTGGAGTTTATTTTGAGGGTGCTGGGGAACGTTATGGGGGTGGAATGGTGGTTTGTGAACTCTTCCAGAGCACAATGCTGAGTCTGACTGCACTGGCAAGGGGCTGGATCTGGTGACTGGGGTGTGATGCTTTCCCATCCTGCGCCGGCTGCGTAAAGAGAGGGTTGGTGCTGGATCGGGAAGGAGCCCAGAGTGGGGCTGATGCTGCACGGCTGACACTGGCTTGAGCAATTCTCGAGTTTCGGGGCCACTGCTGTGCAAGCTGGTTTCCAGTTCACCTGGAAAGTGATCTGTCGTCTGTGCTGCTTGTGGGGACGTCTCGTCTTGAAGCCTTTAACTGGCTCATGGTGGCAGTGGTGCTAATGACATCTGTCTGGAAACCTAATCGGGTGCATCTCTGCCAGTAGCTGGTTCTCAAATTTTTATGTGCGAGAAAGAGGGGGTCAACAGTCCAAAGGCAACTAAGAATAGGGAGCAGCTATTTTCCTGTAGTCATAAATGGCTTCAGTTATACTGGGTGTGATAGCCTCGGGTGAACCTTTTGAAGTGTTGGTTGGTTTTTGTTGGTGTTCTTTTGTTTTTTTTAACATTTATTTAATGTTTCACCTGACAACTTTGCTTGAGGATTGGAAGCAGGTGACAGCATTGAGGCACTTGATCTCATGGAGAGGCCTCTGTAGCTTGGTTGACCTCAGCAGTGTTAGTAGTGAAACAGTAGGAATTAAGTGCTTCTTGGGAAGACTAAAGGCTTCTCCTCCACACTGTTGGCAAGTCTGTGCCAGACAGGAAGGCCTGGGAATTCCAGCTCTGTGTGTGTGCTTGCTGTGAGTGCTTAATTGTGTAGTTAATACACAGTTGCTTGTTTTTGCAAATGCTGGCTAGAAAATACAATACACCACTTGTATTTGAGTATATTGCACACAATACCTTCAGACAGGGGCTCCAGAGGATTCATCCCCCCTCAGAGGGGAGTGGAGGAGGTGGCAGTGTGTTTATGTATTGCTTTCTGGGTGCATTTCTCTGCACTGTGTGCTCACCACAGGCTTGCCTGCTGTGGCCCTGTGCCTTCTCCCCCTAAAATATTCTCCCGAGCCAGCAGCCAAAGTAAACGCTTGCCTGCTTTCAGGTCCTTCCAAAGAAGGTGGAACAGCTCATTTGGTGAAGAAGCAAAAGACAGTTGGAGTGATGAGGATGAGCTCTTCTCAGATGCAGGTAAGAACAGAGTCGCTATTGCGAGCGTTAATTGATGATGATCCTGGCCTTGGGGCTCATTCACGAGTGTCCTGCCACCTTCTGTGTGACTGAATTTTGAACGCAGAAATCCTAAAAGCCCAAGAAAATAAGTGGTTGTCCAACTCTGAGATATTCATTCTTTGTACCTCTGACCTGAAATGCATCCTAAAAACTCCTGTTCCAGTGTCCCATGAGCTAATAATGCTTAGCTTACAGGATAGAAATATTGGAAATACAGCTCTTGCTCCGTTCCCACTTTAGCACCATGAAATACAGATTAAGTTTACCCTTTCAGCCAGATCAGTTTTCTAGTCCACTTCCCTTTGCAGCTCGATGCACAGCTTAGCTGGTGAAAAGAAGCGGACAATGGATGTCTGATTCCAGCCCCAACATACAGCATAGCTGCATCCTGGATGGATGCCCCTGGTCTTGATGTATTGGCTAGTTTAAAACAAAACAGATCTTACTGGAAAGCTTTCACATGAAGCAACTGGGGCTTGAAACGGAGTGGCCGTCCTTGCTATAGCTGCAGAAAAGGGAGGGATAAAGGAATTTGGTTTCATTGTCTGTCATGGGATGTTCTCGTTGTAGACTGTCTCCATAGCTCAGCAGTTGAGCCCAAGGCAGTCCCTCGAGGAGGTGAGTACCTCCTGAGTTATGGTGAAATGTCATCCTCTTGCCTTGTTTTTCAGCATCGTTTGGGAGAAACAGCCACAACTCTACAGTCTTCGGTTCCAAGAAACAGGTAATGTAGAGCCCTTAAATTGTTTCAGTAAGGCCTGAAATGAGGACATGTCCATATAGAAGAGCAAGCTATTGGACGGTTTGCAATATCTTGGTGAAAATTGTGGCTCAGACCACTTCCTCAGCAGCCTGCAGTTCACTGCAGTGGGGTGAGCTGCTGCTGTGCTTTTAAGTGAACCACTGGAGGCTGGTTTGGAAAGTGGTGCTTCCTGAGTCCAGTGCTCACAATATCCAGGCTTGATCTGAGTTGTGCAGGTCTTTGCATTCACAGAGCCGGCTGGAGTTCCTCTGTTAAAACAGCCCCGTTTGGTAGTTGGCTAAAGCTGTGTGCCTCCCACACGCCAGGCACTGGGTGTGTGCATGGCATCCCTTTTCCTTGATGCACGTGGTTCAGAGCTAGGTTTGCTGAGTTCTCCATGCACTGGAGAAGTTCAGCATCTTGTTTGGGTGAGGGACACGTGTGTGGCAGCTGTCACCTGGGAAGAGGTCCCAAGTTTGGTGCTACTAAGAACGCTCACCCTTGTTTGTAGGAAGAGAGCTGCTGGTTCTTGTGCTGCTGTACGCCAGGTAGCACTACTAGAACTACTCCTGGGCTTGTGCTGGAGCTGAGTTCTCTTGTAAAAGTTATGAGAGCACATCTTCAGTGAAATGATTGAGTGTGGTGTGTGCTATTGACAGAACATCTCTGCCTTTCCCCTGTGTTACTAGTGCAGGTGATAAGGGGAAGCTAACATGCTGGGAAGGAGTTACAGGGCTTCTCTGCCAAGTGCAGCTCCTCCCTGGAACCGCACTCTGTACTCACAGAGCACTGATTACCTGCTCTTTTGTAGAAATGGACAATACAGGAGAGCGAGTGGATCAAAGAGGGCGTGAAGAAGTTTGGAGAAGGGAGATGGAAGGCCATTTGCCAGAAATACCCCTTCCAGAACCGCACGCCAGTGATGATCAAGGATCGTTGGCGGACCATGAAAAAGCTGGGAATCCTCTGAAGTCAGGAGCCATGAGACCTTCAGCGCAAAAAACCTTCTTATTTGTCTTTTGAAAGATGGACCAGAGCAATAGTAGTGGGGAGGCTGCTGTGCTCGTTCCTGGTGTGTGTTGGGGCTGGCGTGGTGAGCTCCTCTGGCTCATGGTACGCAAGACTTCTGCAGCAGATGGAACCACATCTGACAAGAACCGAGGAGCTTTGTGTCTCAAGTTGTAGCTGCAAGGCTTAGGTCTTCTGCAGTTGCCAGAAGCTGCACAGCCTGATTGCACGTGCTTGGAAACGGCTTGCATCGGGACTTCTTTTTCCACCTGACAACTGCAGTGTTCGTAGAATGAATCCCAACCTGATGGGCTACTGAAATGACAGTTTTCTCTGTTCGGAGGCTATGGTAGGATAATCCCATCTGTGGCTATTTTAATGTGTTTTAATTTTCTAAACTATGAATCTCTTGTTTCATCTGTTTATTCTCAGTCCCTTGTGGGAGAGAAGCAGCATGTAGTCCCAGAGCTTCTGGGGAGAAGAAGAGATTTAGGCAAGATGATCTGCTTAGATTTGTTATTTTTTTGCCCCCATTTGTTTTTTCTGCTTTATACATGGCAAGTCTGCAACTGGCAATTTCTCCCTTCCAGCTTTGAGTCTTTAAAAACTTTAGTTTTTTTTGTTTCAGTACTTAAATATTGGTTGCTCCCATGTTAAAAAGTTCAAGTGCTTACTCATTTTGGTTATGTCTTACTGGCACCTCTCTCTCCTGGTCACATCTCCTTCCTATGTGTGATCCCTGCAAGTGTACAAGCTCCAAGGGGAGTCCTTGCCTTCAGGTGCCAAAGCTGGAGTCCATGTCTGAGCAGTCTTCTATAAAATAAAGTTCCTGTCTTCTTGGGTATCCCGAGTTGTAAGTGTGACCTTGTAGCTCACAGGTGGAAATGGGGCAGTTTGGGGTGCTGCCTGCTCACTGCCCCACTGGGGCACACATCACCCCAGGAATGTGGGGCTCCCCATCTGCCTCCTGGGCTGGCTAGGGCTGGGGGTGTTGTGTTGGCAGCTGTTTGGGGTGCATCAGTGATGCCCTGAAGGTATGAGTAGCTGATGCATGAAGCAGAAGCTTCTGGACTAATTTCTGTTGAAGTCAAGGGCAGGGGAGGTATGGGGGCATTTTCTAAAAGCAACCTTTCCTGGCTGTGTTCCCACAGAGAAGCTGGGGAGAAGTCTGTTTGGTAGCACCTGCTTCCCCTCTGTCCTTCAGCAGCAGCTGCTGGAATGAGCTGCCTTCGTCACCTGGCTGTGGCTGTGTCTTTCCCTCCCCTTCTGCTTGTAAAACTCTCACTCTGGGGTGGGAGCAGGGGAAGGTGTCACAGACCAAGGCTTTGCTCTAAGAAAACTGGACGTTTCTTGGAGTAAAATGCTTGTCCTGCTTAGTTTGCTCATTCAGAAGACACAGACTGGCACTGTTGGCCAGCGAGGGGAGCGGGGCTGGCTGGGAACCAGCTCTGTGCAGCCAGAGAGGTGCTGCTGGTGACTGTGGTGCTTCTTCACAGCAGCCCTGGCCCCTGCAGAAGGTCTTGGCTGGGTGAGCTCTAACGTGGGCGAGTCAGACCAGCTCCTGCTCTGCTCGAGATCACCTTGAGGAGCAGAGCCTGTGCCGTGCTCCTCCTGACACCAGTGCTGCTGCGGAGCAGTTAATGATTACCTTTTCCACCTCAAGTCCCCGTTCCTGCCCTGCCCCGGCAGGAGGGAGCGCTGGAGGCTGGAGAGCAGGATGCTGCTGCTGGTGCTCCTGGCGCTGTTGCTGGGCCCTGCCGGCTGCCCCAAGACAGAGCCCCTGAGCGGGTCTGGCCAGGAGCCCCTCTTCCGTGGGGCGGATCGCTACGACTTTGCCATCGTCATCCCCGCTGGCGCTGTGGAGTGCTTCTGGCAGTTTGCACACCAGAGCGGCAACTTCTTCTTCAGCTACGAGGTGAGTGCTGCGGGACGCGTCCCAGGAACCTGTCGGCACGGTGTAGCTGCTGATGGGGTTGGGAAACAGCAGTGCTGCTGGAGCCTGCTGCCTCCTCTGAGGGTGCAGCAGGTCCTGTGGTGGGTGATCCTCCATTGCCTTAGTCCTGCAACCAGGCTTATGTGTAGAGGAAGACCCTGTGGGATGAAGGCCATGTGCCGGCTGAACTCCAGACCCGCTGCCCCTGGGGTGGAGATAGTTTGCCTTGTGAGGGAAAGGCCTTTCGTCAAGACAGGGAATGGTTGCAGTCACTTGAATACTTCATTTCAGGGACTGTGCTTTCTTGGGCATCATCTATCCTGTTTATTGTTATAAATACTTGTTTTAAAAATTTAAAGCAGCACGGAGATCTCTGGACATGGTGCCCAAGCATCTGGAGCTCGCTCACAGGGAGCTGGGGGTGTCCCAGCGCTGCGGGGAGCTCTTCACTGGGCTGGCTGGAGGCTCTGCTCTGAGCCACAGCTGGAAGGCACACCGAAGGTTTCGGGCACAGCCATATCTGCTTGTCCCTACGCTCCGTCCCCTTCCCACAGGGGAAACTGCAGCCTTTTATCTCCTGTTTACATTAGGCTGGTTGAAGGAGAGCCGGGGCATGGCCATGCCCGGCGCTGGCAGCTTCCCTCTGGCTCTACACGCGGCAGAGCAGACCCACAGAATATGGCATGGCCTTGGAGCTTACCACAGCTCCATTTCCCAACGCTCCAGTGGCTGGCAGAACCTGATCCAGGCAGCAAGAAGCCAGGATGGGCCTGTGGGGTGGGAGACATGGGGTCTGTGAACACCTTCAGCACTGTGAACGGGTGTTGGGAACTGCAGGGTTCATTACACGAGGCTGCAGGTTGTGGGAGTTTATTCACACATAGATGGCAGCTTTCTGGAGGCTATTTCTGGCCTCAGCTCATAGTAATGAAGGGGCCAGCTCCTCACAGGACCCCAGACCAACCCTCAGTAGAGGTCCCTGCCCTGTGCACGAGGGCTCCTGTGGGCTCCCATCTGTTTACTGGGTGCAGAGCCAGGCTCATGAATCCCTCTTGGGTGTTTCCTGTCTCCAGGTCCAGCGGGCGACAGGCATCGCCAACAGCAGGAACATCCTGGCCACGGCCAGTGACCCCAAGGGCTTCCAGCTTGGTATTTCCCAGGACGTGCGAGGACAGATCAACTTCCTCACCAAGGAGACAGGTCACCACTGCCCCCATCCCTGCACAGCCCACCCCCAGGCAGGAGGCTGGGGGCTGCCAGGTCTCAGCCAGCAGCTCTGAGCATGCCCAGATGGCCAGTGCTTCCCAGAGCATTGATCAGTCTGATCACTCCTTCCTCCCAAATTGGGAGGATGAGGGTCAAGTGCTGGGGACGGGTCTGCCTGGCAGCAGCTCTCCTACTCGGGAAACAATAATACCTATTTCTCTCTGCAGGTTTCTACCAGCTGTGCCTGGACAACCAGCAAAGCCACTTTGGCTTCATGCAGGTGTATCTCAACTTTGGTGTCTACTATGAAGGCTTCGACACAGAAAACAAGCAGCCAGAAGAGAAGAAAGAGCTGAACAACACCCTGGAGGCAATTGAGGTGAGTGTCAACTTGACCGCAGGGTGCTCTGATACAGTGGGGACAGGCATGTCCTCCTAAGGGAACCAAGAAGGGTGTTTGAGCTGCAGCTTATCAGCCCAGTGGGACGTGCCCAGAGCAGCTCTGCCAGCCCCAAGCTCTGCTGTGGCCCCACTGCTGAGCACCCGCCTCTCCTGCAGGTCAGCATCCAGAAGCTGCAGCTCCAGACCTTCCACATGTGGCGGTTCTACAACTTTGCCCGGATGCGGAAAGGGTCTGACTCCTTCCTCTTGGAGTCCAACTACAACTACGTCAACTGGTGGTCAATGGCTCAGAGCTGCATCATTGTCCTCTCTGGGGTCCTGCAGCTCTACTTCTTGAAGCGTCTTTTCAATGTGGAAACCTCCAGCAGGCAGAAGTGCTAGCACCACCCAAAATTGTGGGCAGGACCACAGCCCAGCCTGCTGCTTCCTGCAGTGCTTGGGAACAGAGCTGCCACTCTGCCCCTCTGCAGAGCTGGAGAGAAGGCCAGATCCTGCTTCCAGGAGGAGGATGGAGAGTTCATCCTTCTGCTCCTGCCTCTAGCTCTAGCCTTGCCTTGGCTGAAATCACCCTGACAAAAGAAAAGTGTGACGCAGTCGCTGGAGCTTTGTGTGCTGGGTTGGTTTGTTACAGCTCTGCCCATCTTTGGTGTCCCAGTGTGCCTTTTCTACCAGCCACTCAATAAAGGAACCCCTGGCACACGCTCAGTAGAGTGACTGCAGCCTGCTGTCCTTCCATCTTCTGCAAGTCCAGGTGAAGCAAATCCTCCTTTGCAGGCAGCTGCCTGCCCCATCCATCCCTCCCTCCCTGCAGTTCAGCTGCCAACCTCCCACACCTCACCCCTGGTGTTCCAGAGCCTCCCCTGGCCTCGTCTGCCCAATGAAACATGGTGCTTCTCCCCTCTGGAGTCACACCCTCGTGTGTTGCACTGTCTGAGGCACCAACCCAGGCAGGTAGGGGCCCACAGCCCACCCCCTCCTTCCTCCCTCCCTCCCCGAGACTCCGCACCAGACAACAGGCACTCTGGGAGAAGCAACAGGCTTTATGTGATGGCAGGGGCAAGGCTGGTGCAGGGGGAGCTTCTCCTCACACTGGCAGCAGCCTCTTTGCCCCCCTCCCAGGGATTCAGAGCTGCATCCTGGTGGCTCCCACCACCTCTGCTCTGCTCAGGGTGGGTTCCCCGGGGCTCCCTGTGCTGCTGCTGCACCAATGGTGCAGGACAAGGTCCATTCTAGTCAGAAATGCTTGAGGTCCCTTAGGTCAGCGTGTCCTCGTTCCGCACGTACTCCCCAACATCAGCCTGGTGGAATACCACGATGGCCATAGGGTCAACCTTTCGGCACTCCTGCGTGGACTTGGCAGCCACCCCAAAGCCCTAGAGGGGATGAAGCAGAGATGAGAGAGAGTTTTCTCCACACCCCAGCCCTGGAAAGCGCAGGGGCTGTGCCGGCCACTCACCAGGGGTACATCGGCCATGGAGTACACCACCACTCCCTGGTACTGCGCCGTGTTCTCCGTGATGCGGCCCAGGCCCGACTTCAGGACGTGGTTGCCATAGAGGAAGGACTGCTCGGAGCCGGGTTTCACCCACACCTTGTACTGCAAGAGAGACCCAGAGCGGTGAGGGGCTGGATAGAGAGCCTGGTGTGGAGCAGGGGGGCAGCTGGAGGGGGGGGTTCCATGTCCCACCTTGGCGTAGGGCGCCAGGAAGTCCAGGGCCGTGACGCTGAGCCGAAACTTCTGTGTCTTGGTGAACTTCCCGAAGCAGGTGCCCAGCGACACCAGGTTGTCCCGGGGGATGCTGGTCGCCACCTTCAGCAGCTTCTCACTGCGGGGAGTGGGCAAAGCTGCAGCGGCTCCCGGGCCCGCAGCCCCCGGGAGCCTCCCCCCGTCACCTCCCGCCCCCCTCCCCCGCTCACCTCAGGTAGTAGACGCGGTCGCGGTGCAAGCGGAAGCAGTAGGTGCCATCGGGCCGGTCCACCAGCAGCTGGATGTTCTCACCGATGCTGCGGGGACAGACGCGGTGAGCCCGGCCCGGCCCCGCGCCCCTCTCCCGGCCCCAAACCGCCACACGGCCCTCCCGGTCCCCGTCCCATCCCCTCCCCGCGCCCGGTTCCTCCCGTTTGCCCCGCTCCCTCACTATCGGCCCAGCTTCTCGAACACGGCCCGCGTCTCCGCCTCCGTCAGCGGCCGCATCGCCCCGCACCGCACACGCGGGGACCGCGCCGGAAGCGGAAGCGGCCGCGGGGCGGAAGTGACGCGGCGGCCCCTCGGTGAACGGGTGGTGGCCATGGCGGCGGAGGAGGTCCGGCTGCTGGCCTGGCTGCGCGGCCCGGCGGCGGCGGGGCCCGGCGGCCCCGAGCTCTCCGCCTACGTGGC